CAAATAACGTCAATCGCTTGAAGCATTTCCAAGGTCGATGGAGCAGGTCGTTCCCGTCCAAAGTACCCGAGGGAGTCCAGACGAGTCCCGGAACGGATGACGACGGTCCTTTGACGGAAGGGGATCTCCCTTCTACTAGCTTTGTGGAATGACTCTTGATTGGAGGCGAAGAGACGGCATTGACTGGGGTTCCATCGACATAATCGCTAGGCGCAAGAAGAGCCGACTACAATAGTTCCTAGTGTTATTGGTCATCTACAAGACCTCGGAACACTCTGTTACCTTCTTACGCCGCTCTAATCAAAGCGTTCGAAGAAACTCGTCGTAGGGAGGAGGGTCTACCAGAATTACGGCGCAGCGCTCGGTTAGAGGATGCAAACGCCGCTGTGGACGAAGAGGAACTGCTCTTCTAAAAGAGAGGAGTTGAAATGGATTGGTTGGTTCAGTTCGAGGAACTCTCGATCTAGTCTTCCTCGGGAGTGCTCAGAGGAACACTTCTTACTTTACTCTGTATACGTTTGGATTTTGTGTTACGGATTGGCTACCCTACTACCTGTCGAGAAGAAAACCCGCGGTTCTAAAATGAGGGACAAGAGCGATAAAAACGAGATAAATCGCGGGTGAAAGACAAAAGGAAACATTAAAATTTTGGGAACGATACTAGTACACCTACATTCGTCCGGACAGAACGGTTCTGGGCTCTTACAAATCAAGAACTCGATGGGGCCTTAAAACTAGGCTACTTTAGCGGATTCCTTCGTCGGTGAGGTGGGAGTAGAGTGTTCTCCCGGGGAGCTCGACTTCTTCGGCGCCGATAGAGATCGCGACGCCGAGCGTCTCCCTGGAGATCCTACCTTCGTCGTCGACGATGGCGAACGCGACCGCGAACGTTTGCGGGTTTCGTCTAGCGACTCCATGATAGGGGATCGAGTCGCTGCTTCGACTTTAGTGTGTTTCACAGGAGTTTCCCTGTGCCCCTTCACGTGCGGAGAAGGTGGTCGTGTTCCCTCGCGCCGTGGCTCGCCCTTACCCTTCTTTTAGCCGATGACTTCGGACGTGAAGCAGAATGCTCCACTGAGCGCGCCGACAAGACCTCTTGCGCACCAGTGATCTTGACTGCGACTGCAGGGGTGAAACCGAACGCTTAGACGTAGCTGCGTGCGCTTTGAGCTTTCCTTTGGATCGTGGAGGTAACGGAGACCGCTTATGCGCGGAACTGAGGCGGAACTTTTTCGGGGGCGAGTAGCTACGCGATCGATAGCGGGAACGCTTCGTGCGAGGCTTCGATTTCGGAGGCGTACGGGAGAGCTGCAGCCGCTTGCTAGGACGCTTGTCTTCGTTAGTGCTCTCTTCGGAGCTAGAATCCAAACGCAACGTTTTCTTGACGGGGTGGACTTCTTCGAATCGTTCTCGATTTCCTCTTCTTCGTAGGCCGACACTTCCTCGCTCGCCTCATCCCGAATCGCCGTATACGTGCCATCCGTGCACTCATAGGTGGCATAACCCTCGGCGTCTGCTTCGGACGAGTAGAGAGGAGCTACCTTGGGTGTCCTCAGAGCTCCTCCATCCCGTTCCCGCGAGAGCTTAGTCGCTAGTTTCTGAATGCAAGGGCAGTTACTCAGCGCGTGCCAGACTCCCTTCGAACGGTCTCCCACCCAGTGTGGCTCCTGCTTGTCTTCTGACTTCGAATTCAGCAAATCAAGAGCTAGGGCTTGATCGGTGAGCTGACTATCCCGCTTCGAACTGTTTGGATCAAGAGTTCCAGTATGTTTCAGCAACTCTGTGATCGTCGTGAAGCCACCCTCGTCGATGCGAAACGGTTTAAGAGCGTTCTTCTCTTTGCAGGAATACGCCTCCGCGTCGCGAGAGTAGAGTTTGGAACGATTGTCAATAACCGGGCCGTTGCAAGACTTGGCGTCTGGAGCATTCCGACCAGGCTGACCCCCCATCCACATGAGGCGACGTCGGTGAGCGCAGTTCTCGAACAGCTGGAGGAAACCGAAATAACCCCAAGTCTCGATGCAGATGCTCACGAACCAGACGCGAGCGACCACAGCCGACATTTTTGCCTTACGACGCTGAGTCTGTGCGTTGGTAGTCTTCAACGGGACGTTCGCTTGCCAGTCCCAGAACCTAAAACGGTTCTCGTTCCAGAAACGCCAATGAGAAGCGTGCACGTGAAAAAACTCCTGCGGATTGTACCACAGATTTGAGCCCCGCCCCGGGTAGGCGAGCTGGTACGGCTCTTGACCCAGCTCGGACGCTTCGTGGTAGATCCTCTTGAGGTCATCGACTATCGGAGAAGGAGTCGTGTCCGTCAACTTGAACGACAACGCGCACGGTGACCAAGGGTGACTCTGACGCTTCTTGCCGGAACGAGGGCTCTCTGTAAGCGTTTTCTTCTGAGCAGATCCGGTGCTAACCTTCTTAAGCGGGAATCGACTGCCCGTGGTAAAACGCGGATGGCGGGGCGGATTTCCGCGAGCAGGCTGGCGTGACGGCTTCGGCATGATTACCACGAGCCCGGTAAAGACGTCCTCCGCCTTCGCTGTGTCGTCCAGAATTGCCTCCGCGATGGAGTCCAGTACCTCAAGGCCAAAGGAACTCGCATTAACCGCGAATATACCGCGCATGGTGACCCAGAAGCGTTCGTAGGCCGAAGTATCGCTGAGGGAGGAGCTGTCGGAGTCGAGACGACTCTACATTCCAGACGGTCTTGTAATTGCGGGGCGCCTTGCCACGCGAAGGTCCCATACTGGTGTCGCATGAAGAAGAAGTGAAGCGGAGGATGCGTCTGTGGTCGAGGCAAAATTGCCGAATGAGCTGAAAGACTGGCCGTCGGGACCTGGATCTCCAGTTCCGTCTCTTTAGGGATTTCTGTGAAAACTACACACTGGGTACTCTCGCAAGAGACGAAGAACCGGTGATCTCCTTCCTCAAATAACTTGATTGACGGTTAACGATTACGACCGATGGGGATCAACCGACTTCGAGAAGAGTCAACTCGAGAGCACTTAATTCTTATTTGCAAAGTGTTCCTCTCCTACAATGTGGTCTCAAGCGAGTGTCTTCGTCGAGTACGCCCGCTGGGAGCTGTGGCCCGTGTACGTAGAGGCTATAACGGTCTGGGTCTAAACGACTCCCCTGCGTAACGTTGCTTGGTAGTTCCTAGTCCAAGTGTGGCGCGTTACTAAGATGAACTGCGATATTTGCGGCGACTGTGCTTCACTATACCGGGACGTGCTGCAAGCCGGTGAACTACGCCAGCTCCGGGGTGCTACGTACGCTTATGGGGTGTGGGTGCGCTCTTCGCTGTGCTTCCCATCGTTCTGCTCAAGGGAGACGAGAAGTATGGTCGATATGGGAGAATGTTGCGGAGTTGGTGGGTCGCCGGCAGGGTAACTTTCTCCGACTACATCCCTGATGTCCTTCTTCGCACGAGGTATTCGAGCATACGCTACTGGGACGCTTTCTGGGGCACTTTTAAAACTACCTGGATGCGTCTTTACGCCGTGGGTGAAGCTGTCTGCTGGTTAGTACTACTGTGCGTCTCCCGGTTGCTGTACATACCGATCAACATGTTCGACCTAGTGGAGGTCGTACTCTTGGGACCTGTGGGTGTCGGCGCCGCACCGTTATTCCTGCTGGCTTTTAACTGTTGTCTCGAACGGACTGGCTGGAGCCTCGCCTACGGACTTATCGTGGTAAGTACCGGAGTGACTTCGCAACCTTGTCGCCTGTACGACGAAGGGAGCACGCTACGGACCGTCTTTTCTAAAGTGTTGGTTAACCCAGCTCTTTCCAGTGCCCGCCGGAATGCTTCTGAGCGCAGCCGAGCTGAAGCTCGGAACATCGAACGTCTACGGGTTGACGACGACATTGAAGTGTTATACGACTTCGACCCCGACTTACAGGATAACGGTACCGAGGACTACCCTGAAGCGTTCCCGTACCGCCTACCTGTCGAGTTGACGAACGCCGAAGCTACAGGGGTTAACCTAATGAGCCAGCGGGGTGACCCCGTTCGCCGAGGACGGCAAACGCCAAGTCGGGGAGGCTGTCCCGTACCCGGTAACGAGGGGGTCATTCCAGGCGTCACACGGCTGGCAAGGATGACCCGTGGTCCTGAGGCCACTCCTCGTCACGCCGTTCCGTCAGGTTAGTACCCGCTAGACTCGGCGGCTCGCGTACCCCCTGTCGAGACCGTTAGAGCTGCCCTCTAAAGTGGTCCTGGAACGCTGGGACCCGTTCGACGTGGGACTAAGACGCCTCGCGCAATCGAGTCCCTTCCTAGTGCTCCCTGCTGTCCTACGAGGGTGGAAGTCAGGTGAAGCTAACTGCTTCTTCAGGTGTAAGAGAAGCGTGATATGTATGCGAGGAAGGGAAGGTGCTAGACCTCTCTTCCGGCTAGCTCTCATCCTTATATTGTCCACCTTCTACTCAAGTGGAAGTCAAGTCAAATAAAGAAATTTATATTCTTTTAAGTGTTCTTGCCTACCGTTCCGGCCACTGAACGAGATCGTACTCCCTGAACAGCCGCAGACTACCCGACCCTTGAAGGAGGAGGTATACAGCACAACGTAGGATCCACCAGCCATGTAACGTGGTGTACAATGCACCACCACTTCGTATAGGAGCGACTCCAGCTCGTCTCGTAGACATCATATCGGCACCTGCCTCAGCAATGCTACTTAGCGGGTAAAATGGGCCTCACCGTAGTACTATAGTACAGTTTTCTTAGGTAAGCTTAGTTTTAATACTCTAAAATAAGAATGGAGCGTTGGCACCCTGCTGGTTCCAGCAACTGCATTTTTCCGGCCACATCAATATGCTTCTGGTCTCAGGAATGGTGCTTCGGAGTAAATCACATTGAAAACAAAACTGTACATGTAATGCTCGAATGAAATTGCTGCGCGGTCTCGATTGGCGTTTTTAGTATACATGCTGATAAAAAATGCAAGATCAGTAAATATGGCTCTTGCTACACGCTTGGGGCTATTTTACTTAAAGGCGAGCGTCGCTTGGCTACGGGGCTGCTTCTTGATGCACGCGTTGACATCCTCGGTCGCGGTGTTTTCTTTTGTGTACTTGGCACGTCTTGGCTGAAAATCTGCGAGTTCGCTGAACCACCTGATGACGGGGAAATGACCATTGTAGATCGCAAAGTCAATTGCGACTGTAGTGCAGCCTTCCGTGCGATTCGCCCACAGCCACTGCACCGTGGCCAAGTGACCTCCAGCAGCAGCAGTGTCCATCGCTCCTGTGGTGCAGCCTTCAGTACGGTACTCATGCAGCCACTGCACAACATCAAGATGACCACCTGCTGCAGCGCTGTCCATTGCGTGTACGGAGCAACCTTCGCAACGGTTTTCATGCAACCACTTAATTATTTGGAGGTGGCCCCGCAATGCTGCAGCATCCATCACTCGAGTCGAAATCTTCTTCTCGGGACAGTAGGCATTGAGCCACTTGATAATGTCAAGGTAGCCCTCTGTCGCTGCAATTCGCATGGCCCAATCAAAGCCATGGTCAGCGATCTCTGCGTTTCGCGCGCCCAACCTCTTCAAAAGCGTGAGGTATCCGCTGCATGCTGCCTTCTGAATAGTCCATCGAGTGGAGCAGTCCAAGAATGACTCGACGAGTTCTGGCACCAATCCGCTGGAAATGGGACCGACCAGATCTCTCACGACCACCTCGACACTCATCATCCGTTCCATCATGGTGTGCTGTTTGTTATGTGGTGTGCTGAATGAAAAATGAAAAGTGAGAACTAGACTGAAGAACACTTCATGCGAAGTTATCGACAATGGTAATTTGGGTCACCCCTTAAAAAGAAAGACAATGGGTTGCTTTAGATTGAGAAACATGACCATTAATAGATTAGGAATCGTCTCACGCCGCGCCTCAAACGCACGTTCTCAAGAAACAGTCAGTGACCACGACGTCTCATCCCGTAAGCGACCTCCGCCGTATTAGCCCCGCACGTGACTGTTGTGTGAGACATTAGCATGTATTATAATAGTACTTGTTAAAAGTAAGAGCTGTTTTACCGTTAGAATGCTCAAAACTGGAACCAAAAGAAACATTGGACACTTAACTCTCAACATCTGCCGAGGGATGCTACATAAGTATTGGGGGTCTTCTCATGAATGGCGCTTTGTCCAGAAACTGACACTAAACCCCTTTAACATTAGCTTCCTTCAGCATAAATAGCAAATACCTCTGCATTAATTGCTAATTGATAGGTTCTGACCTGCTGTTCGATCCAGCATTCTCCTACATGTACCCCAGCCAGTTGCTGTCTTGTCTGTACTACCTTGGCACAGCCTACTCAAACTCAGTTCCGGCATGATAGCCCCATGCTCATTCGTCGCGGACGGTGTCTCGGTGCCTCCAGAAGCGTGGCGCTCAGTCGCCGTTCCCTCCGAGAACAGCGAGTCAACGGCTGCATCCCCTGGTCGACGTCTTGCACTTCCACGTGTTGCTCGTTAAGCCACCTTAAAATGTGCATGTGGCCATTGAGTAGCGCGAAGTGCGAGGCCACACTCGTGCAGCCTTCCGTGCGGTTGGCCGCAAGCCACTGTGCAGTCTTGAGGTGTCCTCCAGCCGCTGCGCTGTCCATCGCAGCAGTCGTGCAGCCTTCTTCACGGTTCTCATGTAACCACTGAACGACATCCAGTCGCCCGTATGCAGCAGCACTGTCCATGGCTGCCGTCGTGCAGCCCTCATCTCGGTAGTGATGAAGCCACTTAATGGTGTGGAGGTGTCCACGAAGAGCAGCCGAGTCCATTACTTGCGTCGAGCATTCCATATCCGGCTGGTAAGCGGTGAGCCACTTGACAACGCTCAGATCACCGCGGTCCGCTGCTGTGCGAAGCGCCCAGTCCAGCTCTCGAGTCGTAATTGGCGATTCTCTCTTTCCCAGTCGCTCAAGCAGCGTCATGTAGCCGGTACACGCAGCGCGCTCGATCGTCCACTTGTGCGAGACGTCCAAGTACTCGCTCACCATTTCAGCCACGTGTGGACACCCAGCCAGTGCGTCCTGTTCGCGAATCACGACGTCAACGGCAATGAACACGGGAGTTCGGAAGCTCATGGTGGGTGGTCCCTTAGGCGAGTTCGAATGATGAAATGAAGCTGTTAGTTGTTGTTAGTTTACGTGGAGTCAACCAGCAGGTTCAAGAGGAAATGATTTGGGGCAACAGCTTTTGAAGTAGAGCATGGTTGGCCCTTCCGCAATTATCTCGCGCTGACGTACATGTACTGTACCTCGCGACCTCTGAAGCTCCAATGAGACGTGATACGTGATTGCGGCGGTTACTTCCGGCTTTCGATCTAGCAACATTAAAGACAACGACGAGATGACGACCACCGTTGGAATGGAAGCCAAGTGCACTCGACAACGTGGGGACGTGACCCAATTTGGTCCAAATTTTGGAATCTTGATTCTGGATGCAGCGACGATATGGTTGTACTGTACCGTGCGCATCTCAGTGTTGTGCTCCGTCGTTGATAATCCACATGCCCTCTGTTAGCGCGCGTGCGCGCAAACAGAAACCGTTATGCAGTGCCATTGGCACCGCGACGTTTCGCTCTGAGTTGAAGCTGGCCAGAAGCTAAGCTAGATGGTGTGTCTCCACACTGGATTTAAGTGCGACACAGTGTACAGTGTGTCGCACACACTGTCTGCGACAAAACGTCATAGAAATTCGAGACTTGTCCTAAGATTCCTATTATATACAGATGAACCATTCGGTAGTAATCCCTACTCTTGCCGCAATGACTATCTAAGGGCTCTTCTGCAAACATTGTCATTGAGGGTCGCCCCTAAGTTCGAAACTACCGTCGATCTTCTCGTTGAGGCTCATTAACCAAAAGTGCAACCTAGTGAACAAGCAGAAGACCGGTAACCATGCCGCAAAGCCGTGAACTTGCAAACAAAAAGAACGACCACAAGGACCGTCAGTCGCGCGGCCCGATGGGCTCCGCTGCTGGGCCCAAGAAGGGTGCGTGCGCAGCATAAATAGCGCGGCAGTGATGGTCAGTAGCTAAGGCTGACGCTTTGTTCGTTTTGTTGATGTAGGAGGCGCTGGTGCTCACAACTGGGGTGTCTCGACCGGTGAGGAGGGCGCTATCGCGGCCGTCGACCGCAATGACCCCAACTACGACAGCTCAGGGGAGAAGTAGATCAGTGCAGAGAAAAACTAGTGGCTGTAATCAACAGGTGATCAAGAGGAGGAGAAAGAAGAAGAAAACAAAGTGGGCTGAGAGGTTAATTGGCGTTGGTTGTAGCTGCTGGGCGTGCGTTGGTGGACGCAGGGGAGCGTGCGCAGAAATAAAGAAAAATAAATTACCGAAACCATCATTAAAATTAGGTGGCGCTTCCTAATGTTGCTCTAGTGTCAGCCTTCACGTACACCACACCATTCACGGGCACCACCAGAAGCTTTAACAGTAACAAATACAGTACCATGGCGATGCCTTCTGCTGAAGTGAACGCAGCATCTGTGACGACCATCCCCAACTCCATGTGGAAGTCTCTGCCTCTCATTGAAGAAGGATCACTCGTCATTCTTTTCGAGACGCACAACTCGCTCACTTACTGCTACGCACAGCGGGGCGCCATTTACCAGAATCGTCATGGTGCCTTCTACCACAACGACATGATCGGCCAACCGTTCGGCTCCAAGATTATCTCGAGGAAGAAGAATGCGCACGGATATCTCATACTGCTGGCGCCGACGCCCGAGCTCTGGAGCCGCGCTTTGCGGCACCGTACGCAGATCGTCTTCACATTGGATGCCAGCGCTATCATGTTCGCGGCTGGGCTGCGCTCAGGTTCACGCGTTGTCGAGTCCGGTACAGGCAGCGGAGCACTCACCACCAGTTTTGCACGCACTGTGGCACCTCACGGCCACGTTTTCACGTTCGAGTTCAATGCACACAGAGCGGAGATCGCTCGTGAAGAGTTCAAGCGCAACGGCCTGGAGAGCGTCATCACAGTGGACTGCAGAGACGCATGCGAGCAAGGATTCCCCGTGGAGCTCGAGGGCACTATTGACATGGTCTTTTTAGACTTGCCAAGTCCGTGGAAAGCGGTGGGTCATGCTGCTAAAATGCTGAAGCAAGGAGGATTCTTCGCGTCCTACTCACCTTGTATCGAACAAGTGCAGAAGACATGCGGGGCACTGCGAAGCGCTAATTTCGAGTGTAAGTGCAGAAGCTGTGAAGGATTTTACACATTTATAGAGAGATTAACAGTGCTTTGTGTGTCTGTGCGGTAGTGATTCGTACGATTGAGACAAGATTGGTGCCGTACAACTCCCGACGGATTGATCTGCCCGTTCCAGACTTTGGATTCGGTAAGAAGGTGAAGAAAGAGAATGGTGCTGCTGCTTCGGCAGTAAACGAGAAAAAGGATGAAGACAAACCCAAGACGGAGGAAGAAAAAGAAAATAAACGCATGAAAAACGGCGGCCGCAAGCGCAAGTATGTGCCTGGTGGGGTGGGTGAGCACGTTGTGGCAAAGAAGGACGACGAGATCCGCGGACACACGGCGTATCTGACGTTCGCGACCACGTTTCTAGAGTAAATTGCTGTCTCTTCTTTTATCTAGTGCCCACAACAAGTGCTAGGATAGAGACAGATTAGTAGTTTTCCACCTGACCTAAGTGTAGTAAAGGCAATGCTATGTTATGTGAATATGGTCTGTAAGAAAACGTCGACATGCCGTCGCTGTAGTTTTGATAGAAATACCCTTCTCTTTACCGTACCGAAGAGATAAGGGAACGATGAAGATGTAAGCAGCAGAAATTAACGTTGTACTGGTGTCTTGCCCTTCACATGATGGTGCACTTGGCCTTATTGCCACGCCGAGGTTGGTACTTCTCCAGATACTTGAGCTGGCGCAGGTTGATGGCCCCACGGCGAAACTTGCGGATATGCTCTACGGCATTGATGGGGTCCAGTCCGTACTCGATCAACGCGATGGCTACAAGAACAGGGGCTCTGTATTGGCCACAAAACAGAGATCAATTAGTCACTGTGTCCTAATAAGGGGAGTCAATCTGTAAGCACGCACCGGCCAAGTCCTGCCACACAATGCACCGCAATCGACTTATTGTTCTTGGAGTCAATAGAGTTGTCTTTAAAGCACGTCTCGACTAGATCGAGCCATTGATCCAGGATCTCCGGGTCGGGTGATTCGCCGTCGGGGAATTCGAGCTCGTGCACGTGGATGCCCGCAGCTTCCACAGACTCGCTGCTGTAAGTGACCTCACAGGCGCGCACGAGTTCTGTAACGTTATGCTTCTTGAGCTCCTTGAGATAAATGTGCAAGTTGCTGTCGTTGGGGGCGTCCATGATCACGAAGGACAGGTGCTCCCACTTGACCATCGTCGGCTTGTTCGTCGGCGCGATCATCGCGTCTCTACGGTGTCTATAGTAAAAATAGGTAAATGGGTTACAGTCCTCTGGACTCGCTGGAAATCACGCTTCTTTTTTCTCTTTTTAGTAAGCAAGGCACTGTCGTCGCGTGTCGGTCGGTCTAGGCTCAACAAACTTATCCCATCCGTTGAATGCACCGCCAATTCGCTCACTCGTCGATGGCTTCACTGTCGAAAAAGGTGTGTTTACTCCTGACGGAACCCTCGGTTGGGGGCTACTCTCCACTCCCACAACCAGTGGACTCGGCGAAGCGTCAGGGAACTCAGAGTTGCTCAATTTGGACGCCAGACGTCGGGATTGACCGAGACAAAAGGCGGTGGAGGGAGTTCAGCAAGAAGATACGACACACACGCGCGGTGGATGTCGAGCTACTAGTTGCTGACGTGGACACGAGTTGCAGTTAGAGAGAAGCGACCGATTGGAGCCGATCGTCTGCTTGGCTGGAGGGCGTTTTCTTGACTGAGCGACGCAGCTGGGTTATTTTGAACTGAATATTGAAAAGTCGAAATTTTAACCAGTGAATGGTCTTTTTATCACAGATTGAAGCACGACCATTGGTTAAATAGATTATGGTAACACTGAATGATGTTCTGTACACGAAATCATGTTAACCAATCAGAGGCGTCGCAAGCGCTTCTTTTTTGCCGAGCTCCAGATATTTGATCGCGGACAGAATTAATCCTGCATGTGAAAACCCATCTTAAATGAGTAGCCATATGGGTGACAGAATGCAAATGCCGACAAAACTAACTGCCAGTCAGTGTAAAAAGGGCGTGCAAGATAGAAGAGATGTGCAAATCCTATTTTATCAACCAATCGAATCACTCAAAATCCTGATTTTATTCGCCGATCCAGCCGTTATTTCTGTGCCAGCCACTTTGTAAGATGGAGGAAACCAACCGTTATTTCTGTGCCAGTCACTTTGTAAGATGGAGGAAACCGTCGAGCCCGAGCCACCCACAGAGCCTCCATCAGCGCTGCAAGGCGCAGAGGAGGCTGCCATCGCGAGCCTTGTTGACGAGGTCTTTTCCCAGCCAACGCAACGTAGAATGCACTACTCAATAAAGCAGAAACGACACGCTCTCCTAGCAACAGAAGGTCTTAGTGAGCGTGAAGCTGCACGCTCGCAAAAAATACCGCGGTGGACGAGAAAGAACAAAGAGGACATATTTGCGTTCAGAGGCAGCGAGAAGACGCTTTCTCGTGCGCCTGGGCGTCCCGAGATGGTCCCGTTCAAGGTGGAGCTGATCACCTTCATGAAGGACACTCGTCGTGAGAGTCGGCCCCTCACCGCCTCCATCATGGCCTCTTACATTCGTGACGAGCACCCGGCGTGGCTACAGGGCTACACTGAAGGAAAGAAGGACACGTTCACAGCATATGAATCGCTACTAAAGCTGATGCGCCGCTTTGCCTACCGGCACGGCTTCGTGCAACGCACTCCGCACGGTTTAAAGGTAACCCATACATTGTAAAATTACCTCTAGTTAACTGATATCTAACTGATAATTTATGCTGCTATGTATTCCTTCTTTCTATAGGAAAAACTCGAAGACCTAGAAGCTGTTCAAAAAGCGTTTGCTTGCGTTTTTGAGGCCAAGTATAGCGGATATAATGCAAGCGAGGTATTTAACTGCGACGAGACTGGCGTTTACTTTGACGCGCCACCAGGCAAGATTTTGTCGGAAAGGGGCCAATCGTCGGCAATAACCGCCCAGCCATTCTCTGCTGCTTGTTGATAACTTGGCGTGCCATGTTTCTGGTGAATCTGAGGCGATTATCTCGGAGGAGCTCATGGCAGTGCTCCAGCCACTGCCAAAAAACTCTACTTCCGTGTGCCAACCTTTAGATGTAGGCATCATGGGGCCTCTGAAGGCGAAGCTGAAGGCTTTGTGGCTGACCGAAAAGGCTACCGTTACGACGGCAAAGAAGAAACGCATAGCGACGATCAAGCGTGTAATTGCGGCATGGGAATCTATCGAGGCCAACACAGTGACGAAAGCGTTCAACAAGGCACTCGACACGAACTATAAAAATACAGCTGCCTCCTCGTAATTCATTGCTTTTGCAATATAAAAATACAGCTGCCTCCTCGTAATTCATTGCTTTTGCAAATCCTTAAAATATTGAAGACCTTTGCTTCCTAGCAGCTGTTTCTACAAAGTGAGGTGGCATTTGCATTCTGTCCGTCAGTGTAATTTAAGAGAAGATTCGTCGAGGACGCGTAAGATTCGAAACGTGTGGCTATCCGCTTTGCAGGATTAATCCTGTCTCGACCATTATTTAATCATGGATCGAAGTTTTGTACTTCAATAATTTCCTCATTGTACAGGATTAGTCTTGTTTTATCCCATGAAAAAATCTCGGATCAAAGACTTGATCTGTGTCTGCACGAATCTTAATGCAGAATTACATGTATTCGACGTTAAGATGCAAGCTACCTCCGAGCACTTACTTGTCTGCAACTTGGGTTGGAGGCACCTCGTCGTCGTCCAAGTTTGTGTCATCTGTCTGCGGTGCAGGAGCGTTTTCCTCCGTCAAAGTACTCGGTGTAGTCTCCGCTGGAAGTAGTCGACCAGTAAGCAGGTAGCAAAACAATTCCAAACGACGCCTTGGAAGCGAAGCGTCACTCATATCTTGAGGAGGTAAGGCGGCAATGTGCCGGATAAACATCCAACACACGAAGACGCCGCAGCTGAAGCCGTCAAATTGGATCGGGTTGTTCTGTGGAATTACACCAAAGTCATTCAGGCCTGTGATCTTCAGTCCAACGGCAACATCCCTTGTCGCGCTCATATACGCCGCTTGGTTCATCGGGTCGTAGTAGAAGATCCTCTTCGCGCTCACTTTGACTACCACACAGCACCAATGCAAGTTGCCATAGTTCACTGGAACAAATACCGACTCCACGCCTTCTTCCTTGACTTGATTCAGCACGCACTTGCGGACTGCGTCGCTCAAAACAGTCTTCTCTGTAGTTCTCGTACGTTTCGTTTTGACTGCTGCGTCTTGAAAGCCGGCGAAGCGACACTCTCGGTAATCTTGGCATAGACGCAAACACAGCGCACGTATGGAGGCATCTGAAAGCCATGCTGGTGGTGTAGCTCGATAGAGCATTGCGTACTGGAAATCAGCGACAGCCGGAAGGCCCTGGATTTGCTTGTAGGGGTAAGTAGCCTTAACCTCTGCGGCTATCTCCTTGGCGAAGGCATGATTTTTTGCTGGTAACGCTGGGATGCCGATTTCTGTCATCCACCTGTACGTGTCCAGACCCATTTTTACGATGTCCTTGAGATTCCTGACTCGCTTGAATATCTCTATTTGCATTCTGGAGAACTGGCCGACGTCTTTAATGAACACTGTTTCGTATGTCTGTGGAGCCAAGTCATCTTCTGCGTCTTGAGACTGACTTGGTTGTGATATCTCGACAGATACAGCTGTCGTATTCGTGTTGGATACCGGCAAAATCTTCATGCACGCGTCTAGAAGCTTGGATGGGAGAATATAGAAGGGATCCTGTACCAGTACAGGATTCTTCGACATCTTCAGCTTGGGCTTCTTGTTGGCCGAGTCCGTGTGCCGGACAATTATTCCTGAGAGGCGTTTTTCTGTCTCCGCTAAGCCTGGCATGTCCCGATCCAAATCGTTCAACAGTTCCTTCAGAGTTTTCGCGCCTGCCAATTTACGTCCAGATTCTGCAGCTTCAAACCATTGACGACCTTCTTTCTCGCCGCCGACCGTGTTCTTCTTAGGTTTTTTTGGAGCTCCAACTTTCTTTGCCTTGGGGTTCAAGCGGATCGCAACCGGCGCAGCACCTTCCGCCGGGGATACATGCCGACCTTCGCTGCTAGACTCCTGACACTCTTCTTCGAGGTCACTAGAGCTGATGTCGAATTCGCGTCTAGTTGGCTTTGCCTTCAGGTTGCTAATACTTCCCTTTGCTGAAATTCCACTTGGATCCATGTCTTCACTATCGCCCATCTTACGCTGACGAACGTTCTCCACTGAGGCAACACAAACTTCAACATGTCATCGAATTCGTCTTCATCATGAATATCAGCCATTTCACTTGCTATAAGATGCGTAGCTCGGACAGCTTCACGGTACCGCTCAGACTGAGTACGCATCTTCTTTCGGACAGATCCTGAACCAGTGATGGTAAATTTCTCATACGCAAACTGTTTCACTTGCTTGCGTGGTCTATTCGGCGTTGTCCATCTGCGCAATCATGGAAAAACATAGGATCATAATAATGGATTAGACATGATTAGAACTGGGTCGTTTACATGATTATAATACTGGAAAGTACTGTGCATTTACCTTTCATCAATGCAACACCATGGAATGAACGGCCCAGACACACCAACGTGTTTACGATAAGCTATTGCATGACGACAGGGTAAACACATCGAAATGGAAAACTCACAGTCGCATTTCCAATCGGATGTCCTCAAACGATGCTCCAAAAACTTTCCAGATACCAAAACATCTCCATCAACGTCCGAATCCTCACTGAATTTGTACGACGCACATTTAGCCAGAGCTGCAGCATACTGTCCTTCAATCTGTCGCGCTACGTAGTGTGTAGTGAAGCGGAGAACGTTGGTCATCTCCTCGTCGTAATTGCTGTTCACAAATCGTCCGATCCGAGACAAGCGGTACTCGTATTCGTTCTGACCCGCCGATCGTAAGCAACAATGGCCTTCACACACAGGGCCATACTCATAGAGCCATCCACCGCGTCCTTCAACTTCCCGAAAAACTCTCCAGACGGTTGTTCGTGTGATTCTTGAAGTGAGGGAGCTTTGACCGTAAGTAAGAAACCCAACGATCTTGACATGAGTCCCAATTCTTCTGAAAGTACTAAAAAAAACCAGTCATCCCTGTGCGATCGCAAATACCACACAATGAATTGTGCGCCTCAGTGTATTGGTCTTCCGACTGCGCGTAAACCATCTTGTGAATAGCCGCATCGA